AGTATTCTTCCTGAGTTTTGCCAATAAAAAGCCAACTGTGATTACTGTCATGGAATTTTCAGAATGATAATTCTTTGGGGGTATATTTACATGTATATGCAACCTTTAAAGTATGCTCAGCAAGTTTCAGGTCAGTAAAAAGAGAAATATCATAGAATCTTAGCACATTTGGAAAATGAGCAGTTGTGTTAACAATGTTGGAACCTTTTGGGAAGTAAATGACTAAGCTGATTATAGAAAAAACGAGACTATGACTCCTTTTTCTTATTTATTTATTTATTTATATTTATTCCAGAGCTGAGGACTGAACCCAGGGCTTTGTGCTTGCTAGGCAAGTGCTCTACCACTGAGCTAAATCCGCAAACCTGACTCTTTTTTTTTTCTTAATGGAAGAATGATTTACTGTGATCTATTTTGTCACAAGGCATCATAGATTTTATTCAGAATTAAAGAGAGTTACAGGACAATACACTACATAGAAGAGAAGCTCCTGCATGAAATTTACTCAGCAGATATTTCTATGAGCCTCTGTTTGCGGTCCAGAAAAGGAAGTTTTGATTGCTGAGGCATCTAATTTATGATTTTCTGTTTTTAATTCATAGATTCTGTTCAATGCACATGTCCGTTTAACATGATGCATCTGATTATAATCATTTGCACAATAGAATATGCATAAGATAATAAATAGGAAGTTTCCTAAATGTTATTTTAAGGACAATGTTAACTGCCCAAAGTCAGCTATAGGCTAGATTGGTCAACTACTTCTATTTCATTACATCTTTCTAAGTATATTTGGTCATGGTAGAGGCTACTATGAAACCATGGGTTGGAATGAAATTATTGTTTTGTTTGCAGAGTGATATGCATGCAGCTTGGTGAGGCTTTTTTGTTGCTGGAGGATTTCTCTCCCAAAGACAACACAATCCAGATTCTCTGTGTAATATTCATCTTTACATGGCTTTTTATATTAATTTATACTTTTTGTCTCTTTCAAGCCTACATATATTTTACATACATTGTAAATGATTTTATCTGAATCAATCTTTTTGTGAACCTATTGCTTTAAACTGCAGCCATTTTAGCCTGAAATGTCACTGTGACTGCTGGCTCCGGCCCCTTCAGCTTTTCAACATGGCGGTGGTATGTTTCCTCCAGCTCTGGGAGTCATCAAGTCTCAGAAATAGTAGGTCTACATTTTTATCAAAGCAGTGTGTAGCCCAGAAACCTCTTTTTTTTAGTACCAGTAAAGACTAAATCTACCACACAGTGTTATGTGCCGCTGGCAGATGCCTCATTCCTGCCATACTGCTGGTCAAACGCACATGCCAGGAACCCATCAGTGTTCAAACCTGCATTTTGCGGCATCTAGCTGCAAGTATGAGACAAGAAGCACGAACCTGGTTTTGGCTCTGTTTAGAATTGGTTATTAAATATTCTCCGGTTTAAGGTGGAAACTCGAGCCGTTGAGCGCCATTTGTTGCTGGAGGGCTTCTCTCCAGGTTCCACCAAGCCCTGCAGTCCCACAATCCACGTATAAAATAATCACTCAGACGCTTATATTACTTATTAACTGTATGGCCATGGCAGGCTTCTTGCTAACTCTTCTTTTTTCTTAAATTAACTCATTTTTATAAATCTATACCTTGCCACGTCGCTTGTGGCTTACCGGCATCTTTACATGCTTCTTGTCCTGGTGGTGGCTCCAGTGTCTCTCCCCCTTCTTCCTGTTTCCCCAATTCTCCTCTCTCCTTGCCCCACCTATACTTCCTTCCTGGTAACTGGCCATCAGTGTTTTATTTATATAGAGTGATATCCAGAGCACTTTTTGTTCTGTTTCCAGTTAGCTCTCTGCCTCCTTGCCTCCTATTTTCAGATGCAGATGTAAATTCTTAGCTACTTCTCCTGGGACATACATATATTAAAGATATCTACAGCAAAATATTCTAGCCTCCTTTTTTTCTGCAACCATGCTTTTCACTGTGTTGATCATGGATTAATACTCTGGAACCATGTCCCCCTAATTTAAATATTTTCTTTCATAAATTTTCAAGTCATGATTTTTTTTCACTGCAATAGAAAAGCAGTTAAGCACTTGCCCTCATAGTAAGGAGAGTAAAGAACAGTTAATGGAGGAAAATCTCCCCTCCATGCATATGATGAGAGTTGACACCTTATCTGAGGACTTGTGTTAAAAATGGACTCCAGATTCTGAGAATAATGTTTTCCCAGTATTAGTTTGTCTGAATATTAGTCCCTTAGAATTTTCAAATACACAGATTTATTTTTACTTTATGTCTATATATCTTGTCCTGGCTTATATTTTGTGTACCTTATGAGTGGTTTTCAGAGGCAAGAAGAGAGGCTCAGACACCCTGGACCTGGAGTTGTCAACAGTTGCTAACAGTCATGTGGGTGTTGGGAGTCCAGCACAGATCCTCTGAAAGACCAGCCAGTTTCCTTAAACAAAGTTCTGGACATGGTAGAGGCTGCTACAAAGCCATGGGTTTGAATGGCCATGTTGCTGTGTTAGAAACCTGCTTCCTCAGAATTTAAACATAGAGCTAGATAAAAATTTTCTGGCCCAAATCTAAATTACTGCAGCTTGATGTATTGTGTGTGTAGAGGTATAAGTCTCTCTCTCTCTCTCTCTCTCTCTCTCTCTCTCTCTCTCTCTCTCTCTCTGTGTGTGTGTGTGTGTGTGTGTGT